ACCTAGACTTACAAAAGGAAGAAAATCTTTTTTGTGCTCTTGTTGTTGGTGTGAACAAGGGAAAGAAGAAAGGGAAGAAATGTTCAGCTCTCCCAGATCAAAATTGTTCTCCCATCTCCCCAAATTTTCTGTCTAAAATTTTTGGAAACCAGGGTTGTGGACATAACCATTTATGATTCCATGAACTGCCCTTACTCAGTGGAAACATGCTTTTGTGTTATTAAGTATCATTCATTCTCAGGGTCATCTTACAGAATGCAGGACAAGACTAGCCTGATGGGCATTCTACCTGTGTGTTGAAGAGCCTCCATATTTGCTGTTTTGCAACATAATTAATCTGTAAACTTGTGGTTTTTAAACATGAAGTCTGATGTGTGAATGAAGTATAATTGCAATGGCTGGAGCCCTAGGCACTGTCCTACCACCTCTCTCTTGTCTATCTTCCCTGAGCAGTGGTTTTGTTTTGTTTTGTTTCATTTTCACTGTTTTGCTGTTGTTTTGTATGTAGGGCTGAGCATCAAATGCAGGGCTTTTTGCATGCAAAGCCAGCACTGTACCACGGAACTACATCCCAGCTCCAGGTTCTCACCATCCTCTTTCTCTGACCTCTGGAACCTGGTGTACCTTCCTTACTCTCCCTCCCTGTGACCACTGACTTTATCCATTCACAGCAGGTGCCTAGGATAGGTGCAGAGAAGATTCTAAGTTGAGCAAGTGTGTCTTGAAAAGTCTAAGGTGGGGCCTGAGAGATGCAGTATTCCCTGCCCTGGGCTGGAAAGAGAGACAAGATTATGTCTGGGTGAGGATGAACCTTTCACCTACCTCTGATACAGGTAGTAAGCATGTCCCAACGAAGAGGCTACAGTGCCCTCAGAGATACACCTAAATATCTAAGTGATTTTCAGCTTTGGAGGGTAAGACTAAGAACTGCCTTGACTTCCCCCAGGACCCACATCTGGCCAGGGCACAGCATGATAGTCTGGATAGTTGGCAAGACAGTGTGTCTTGTAGCTATTAAGCTGTATGTATATTCAAAGTCACAGGATCCAGAACCTCTGGTCTCCAGAGGGCTCAATACTCACTTTCTACTATTTTTACATTTAGAAGAATAGGATATTAAGTAAAATTTGCTTTCTGAACCATTCATCTATTGTGACACATGTGTCATAATATATGATGTTAGCAATCAGGAAAGCAGGATGTGAGGTATGTGGAAACTATGTTTTTTGTTGGGTTTTTTTGTTTTGTTTTGCAACTTGTCTGTCTAAAAGTATCTTAAAGTAATGAGTGAAGGAATATAGGAAAATAAAAAGATAAAGTTTTGTGCTCTAGAACCTCTAAAGGAACTCACTCCTGCTTTTTTTGAACAAAAAGCACTTTCATTTTGCACTGGGCCCTGCAAATTATGATGCAGATTCTTACTGTAAAACTCCCTGTGAAATACACAACTCTCATCCTATCTCCAACTCTTCCCCCACCCCTCATGCAATGCCAAGCTGTCATTAATAATCACTCATCTGTACCTCCAACTAAAAGACTGGCTACCAAGAAAGTTATCTCATTTAACCCACTTGTAAGTTTGTAAGAGAAATATATATATATATATACATATATATATGTATATATATATACACACACACTCGTGTGTGTGTGTGTGTGTGTGTGTGTGTGTGTGTGTGTGTATTGCCAGTCCTAAGGCTTGAGCTCAGGGCCTGGATGCTCCCTGGAGCTGTTTTGTTCAAGGCTAGAGCTCTTCCACTTGAGCCACAGCTCCATTTCTGGCATTTGGGGATGGGGGGTGTTGGTTAATTGAAGATAATTGTCTCCCAGACTTTCCTGCCTATGTTGGCTTCAAACCATGATCCTCTGATCTCAACCTCCTGAGTAGGGAAGATTACAGGTGTGAGTCACTGGCACCATTCTTATCCCCAGTCTACAGATGTAGGAAATTGAGGTCTAGGATAATAGAGAAGGGCAGGGTACTTGCTTCTCATTTTAGAGCTAGTGTTTTTTAAAGCTCACACTGCATATGGATCTTTCTGCCTCTAGGTGTCCAAGGCTTTTTAGCAGCTTGGGCAGCTCTTGGGTCTCCAGTGCCGGAAGCATTTCCTGGGCATCTGCTGGGTATCAGGCCTGGGGGATGATGCCAGAAGCATGCAGCTACAGCCTGATAGACCTGAGCTGCACTGGTCATTTTCTTGGGTTGAGCAGTAGCTTTTTGAGCCTCCCCCTTGCCCATCCTGAGCCTACTGTAATATCTGTGCCCTCTGCCTCAGCTACCATGGTAAGTGAGACACAAAGAAAGTTTTGGGTGTGTATTAGGAGTTTGGTAAGGCATTAGTCTCACATGACTTCAAAACCTAATAAATTTTGCTTTAAAAATAGTGTAGTTGGCTTGAACTCGAAAGGTAACAAAGGAAGATACTTCTGAGACTATCACGTCAGTCATATCTCACATTGGTACCACTCGTTCTGTGATGGATGTACAATTAATGAGCTGGTGTTAGATATTAGTAATTCTACCTAATTGTTGTATCTCTGAAGAGGCCTCTTTGTCAATGCTGCTTGTGGTACAATGACTGTACTTTCTATACAAAGCTGGAATGGAAATTGGATCCCTTTTTTCCTCTTCACGAAGGAGAAATGCGCTATATCATCTTACAGTGCCTTTTGCGTATCTGCTGATCCAAAAGGCTCTCACTACCTTTTACTCCTCACTGTCCTGGGGACTGTCTGGTCCTAGTTTCAGAGGACTCACTGCAGGTTGTCAGGGGGAAGGTACCCAGGCAGAAAAGCCCAAGCAGCTGGGAAGCGATTGGGCTTTTTCTTCTACTAGAGGCAGGAAATGAGGAGAGGAGAACTCTGTCCCTTTGGGAAAAGCTTCCTTGAAGAAATGCTTTTCTGGATGAGAAGGTGAGGAGGTGTTGCCAACATATGTGTGTGTGTGTGTGTGTGTGTGTGTGTGTGAGAGAGAGAGAGAGAGAGAGAGAGAGAGAGAGGGAGGGAGAGAGAGAGAGAGAGAGGAAGAGAGAGAAAGCTTTCTGTGGAGGCAGTTTTACAAAAGTGAAGAAGAAAGGTATGTCCAACCTGCCTTGAAACTAGACCTTTTGTTTGGCTGGGTTTATTTTTTGTGTGTGTAGGGAGTTATTTGAGCTTGAACTCAGGGCCTCAGCACCTTAGTGCTGTCCTTGATGTTCTACTACTAAAAAAAGGCTGAGGTTCTACTACTAAAGCCACTGTTCCACTTGCAGCTTTTTGGTGGTTATTTGGAGATAAAAGTTTCAAGACTTTTGCTGCCTAGGCTGGCTTCAAATTGCAATCCTCAGATCTCAGCCTCCTGAGCAGATAGGATTGATTACAGGTATGAGACATAGAGCTGGGCTTAAAATTAATTGTATTTAAAATACTTCCATTTTTGTCTGCACATTTTTGAAGGGTGTGAAAAAATGGAGGAAGTTACTGCCAGTGGTTTTGTGGCTTTTCAGATATGATACACAGGATATCGAGTTTTAACCCCTGAAATCCTGAATACGTACACACTGGAGGATAAACAAAACAACAGTTTTCGGAAATCTGCATTTATGGCCATTCACTTTCTGTTTCAAATATTTGGGGGAGGGGTGCGCACACACACACACAATTATTCAAGTAGCAAAAAGCAATGTGATCCCACCAGGATTTCTGTAAAAACATATTCAAATGTGTTCTCAATATGACAGGAATGTTATAGTATAATTCTGTACGAGATTTTTTTTTATTTTATTAGGTTTATTGTATGTTTGCTTACCAGAAAGCTTGGTAGAGTTAATGAATGTGGTTCTCCTTTTATAACTGTGTGTAGCTTCATTAATTTATCTAGTAGCATAAAATAAATTCAGTGTTTGTTCACACAGATTTCTTAATTTAATAACTTGCAGTATTTGCTCAGACCCACAAACTTTTAGATATGGAAAGGCATCCTGTGGATAAGTAAAAAGAGTTCTAACTGTCCAGCCAAGGAAAAGAAAAAAAGACAAAGAAAAAAGTCTTGAAAACCGTTTCTTGGGGGGCAGGCAGGGTAATCAGAGGAGAATGGAACACTTGCAAATATATCCAGAAAGTCTAGCTTTCTAAAGTGACAAATGAGAGCCCCCAGCTTTAATAGAAAGAAAAAATCTGCAGCATTCACATCTGGCTCCACCTGAAAGTCCGGTTCAGAATTTCTCTGTGATCCTGGCACTTGCAGAAGGGAAGTTTTAGCTTTGTTTAGTATAACTAGAGCTGCAAGACTCCCCGGCCAATAAACACGTTTCATGTAAAACTCCAGACAGTTTCTCTTAGACTAAAGTCTTATCAGGGAGACCTCATTTCACCTCTAATTAAAGGGGGAGATTGTAAGGAGAGAAAGGAATGCCCTACTGTGTGTGTGTGTGTGTGTGTGTGTGTGTGTGTTTGCTGAATCCCAAGTCATTCTCACATGAGCACACTCCCCAGAATTCTGAATGACTACCCAGCTTTTGAACAGAGTTTTCCCTCAGATCACAAAGGTCTGTTTCACTTAGAGGAAGAGCAAAATGAAGCAAAAGCTTTCCTCATTTCTCCTCTCCACGGCAAATACTCAGAAATGACATCACACACCCTAAAGAGTACCAGGATGACTAAGGCAAGGGGCGCCTGAGAAAAACTCCTCTCTGCCTCTGCGTTTAGTTTTAGGACACAGCGCGATGCAGATGAGCCTCTAAGCGAAGGTTCCCCGCCTTCTTCCTCAGAGGAAGTTTCTTGGTAGATCACTGACACCTCATCCAGCGAGGGGGAGGTGAAAACTTGGCACCAGGCGTCTCTGCCCAGCACCGCAGTGATTTGTCCTCCGGGTGGAGCGAGCTGGAAGGAAGGAATCATGAAGGAACAAGGGGCCACCTTCAGTAGCGCCGGGATCAGCAGTGGCAGCAGCAGCGCCGACTCTGCTATGGACAGCCTGCAGACGCTCCAGCCTAACTACATGTCTGTGTGTTTGTTTGCAGAAGAATCTTATCAAAAATTAGCAATGGAAACGCTGGAGGAACTAGACTGGTGCTTAGACCAGCTGGAAACCATTCAGACCTACCGCTCTGTCAGCGAGATGGCTTCTAACAAGGTAAGAAGAGCGATTTGTACTTGGAAATGTGTGGGAGAACCAGACGTGCTGGCCCTTCCCGAGCTTGTACCATAGTGTGAGAGACCTAAGAATGGATTTGCGTGTGTTGCTCTGTCTCTGGGAAGACTTTTCCAAAGTGGTCTACTTTGCGTGGTGTTGCAGCCACACATACAGAAGCGTGTGCGCACACGCACGCGCGCGCGCGCGCACCAGCACACACACAATCGTAAATGCTCAATAAGCTTTAACGCTCACAAACAAATTACTTTATTGACCCGTCTGGAATATGGTTTGAAGAGAGAAGGGTCTATAGAGCTAACAAATTATTAGACAGGTGAAAAATGCATTTTCAGAAAACAGTTTTATGAGAAAGCTAACATGTGAGTGAGCCCTTGGGATAAAATGTACAATACGTTGCTTTAGTATCAGGTGTGAGATGTATGTTTTTAAATATGAGTATTTCTTGACGACTTTACAACCATGGGACAAAATGCTTTGCATTTGAGTTTGATAAAATTCTTTAGAGAAAAACATTTGCAAATTTGCTCCTGCTGCTTTTGTGACGCTGGCATGGTCTGGGATGAAAGAAAGAAAGAGAGAAAGAAAAGAAAGAGATGGAGAAAACAAATAAAGAAGAAAGAATACATTGTATCTCCAAAGACCGAAAGTTTTCTTTTAAGTTTTCTGATTTTCAAAGTGGAATCATTTGATATTCAACTGCATCCATACTTGGAGGGAAAAAAAAGATTTTATTTACATTCTCTAGACAAAACTTGGTGTTGAAGAGCTTTAATTATCTCTCATTATATCATTTGTTTAATTAACATCTGAAGCTAAGCGTGCTAATTTACATAGGTTATATAGTGAGAAGTGTTGTTTGTTTTTTTGTTTATTTGTGTTTCCCCCCCTCTGGAGAAATTTAACAATATATGTCTGGTAAAAGCTATATTTTATATTCATATATGCATCCATACTTTGATGGAAAGCCTTGATACTATACTTTCAAAAGTGCACATTTTCATAGCTCCTTAATCATTCTAGCCTAAGGTATTATGATATTGTGTTCCATTTCTGAGGCTGGGAAGAGATTCTGCTGCTCACCCATCCACATGCCCTTGCCACCCTGAGATGCACTTGTGACTAATTCCCTCCTCCTCCTTTCCTGGGGTGAAAAGTGGCACCTTTGGATCAAAGCTTACTGGCTCCCTTTCAAAGGATCAAATCAGAGGAAGCAATGTGTCCTTAGGAGATCCTGATGTAGTAGCAAGGGCTCTTCATATTCTGTAACTATTTAAAGGGCAAAAAAGAAGTCCCTGTCTGAAAGTTTAATTCTGAGTTCAAGTTGTCAGGGGTAAAGCAAAGGCTAGATTTAGGGTTAACTAGAATGTACTGACTTCTCAGTTGAGGTCTCACTTCAGGGATTTTCCAGACTGGTGTAAAACTTAACCAACTGCTTCCCCACAAAAGGGGGCTTCACTGTGCAACTTCTCCAAATCACTTTGGGATTCCACATGGAAGGGCTTGCACACATGCTGAGCCTACTTGGGAACATTGGATGACCCTCTGTTACCTGTATTTTTGTAACGTTTGATACACATACAAGATAGAGCCAATATTTAGGGTTGAATTTTCAGCACAGAGAATATAATGAATTTCTGAAGTCACCAAGATAAAGGCAGAAACTAACTCCAAGAGAAAAAGAATAGTCCCAGACAAACTACAAATTATTACTGCTTGGCAGTGGGAGCCTTGGGGCCCTGCAGTGTTCTAACCACACTGGTGTCTAGAGTGCTGGGATTGGACATTGTCTTTCTTTGTCTTCCTTGCAATGTTATTAAGAAGCAATTTCATATCCAATTAGTAAAGCTTGGACACCAGGCACTGTACTGTACCGGTCCTGGTAAGAATTCTAGTCTCCTCTGGGCTTCTATGCCTCATTTATGGTGTCCTGTGCAGGAAACAGTGAAAGCTGAATAGAGCTAATCCTAAAGAAAAGACTAAACCTTAATGTTGATGTGGTTATCTTAAGTAGAAGTTGCTTCACTTATTTTTAAGATCTACAGTAAAAAGTTTTCAGGACTAAAAACCCAATGGTGAATGATGACTAACTGACAGATAAAGACAATTTCTAATGTTTAAAGTATCTTTTTTATTTACGTACTATTTAAAATATGAATTACTCAATAATTTTCTTGCGTAAGGGTTAAGCATAGTAAAAATCACAACACATATAAGAATGCAATGATAATATTTTAAGGTTATTGAAAAGAAATTAACCTATACTTGTGTGGGAAACTGAATTATTTATGGTAAAAATAATATTCCTCATAAAAAGTTCAATGTAGTTGAAGTTATTTGAGATTTCCTTATAATTCAATGTTTTAAAATATCATCATCAATATAGCTATTGTAATTACATAGCCAAATTTGGTCATATTTTTCGTACCCTCACTGAATGAAAGAGTGTCATGAATCTCTGTGCTACAGAGCTAGAAGCAAATGTACTTGCACTTTACAAAGCGGGGAGGCAATATGAAGACCTGTAGAATGGGAAAGCTGTTCAAACCCATGGATACCATTTTACTAGCTATTTAACCTGAACAAGCCTACTTAACTGCTTAAGACTCTTATTTTCTATCCGTAAGGCAAGGATTAAAGCAGTACCTATCTCTGCAGATTGCTATGCTTATTTAAATAACTTACCTAAGCACTTAACAAAATACCTAACATGTAGTAAAAATTCAGGAGGTGATCACTCATTGACAACACCAACTATATTTTTTGCAAAACATTAGCTAAGTGACTATGGAGGTATGTGGTTTTTTTTTTTTTAATCTATTTATCCGTTTTGGGTTTTGCCATTTCTGAACTTACTTAAGAGTGAAGTTGAGAGCCAGTGTCATGCACAGGGTTATGTGTGGTTGACACAGGTACAGTTCTACCTACAAATGGTGAAGAGTTGTCAGCATTTGGTAGAGGAACAGCTAGCAGTCTTCCAGGTTTATTCCATCTGCTTAAGGTCATGTTTTGTTGTTGTTTTGAGTTATTACCTCTTTTACAGTTTGAAGAAAAGTGAGTGACTCAATGATTATAATTGACTTTACAGTCTCCTTAAAGCATACAGAGCTGATTCAGAACTTCTTCTGTGATTAAAAACAATAACAAACAAACAAACCATTCTCCTAGCTGGGTCCTCATGGTTCATGCTTGTGATCCTAGCTACTCAAGAGTATAAGCTCTAGAAGATCTCAGCTAGCACAAACAAACAAAAGTCCATGAGACTTCATCTCCAAAATAATCATTCAAAAACCTGACTGGAAGTGCGATTCAGGTGCTAGAACACCAGTTTTGTAAGCAAAGTCAAGTATGCACAGGTTCTGAGTCCAAACCCTGATACTGGTACGAAAACAACAAACAAGCAAAAAGTCAGCATCCTTGTTGGCTTATGTTTTCTTGATTCCTTAGTGTTGGCCACAGACCAAATGGAATTTGAGAATTTTAGAGAAAGTGAGACTAGATGAGTTCATATTGTAGATCATTTTCTCCAAAAGAAAAACAAGAAATGGGAGTTTTTGAAGGCAATGGCATTGTTTCTCATGATGAAAAAACTCCACATCTACTGAATCTCCTGCCAGCAGCCCAAGTTCAGTTAGGTATGTTAGGGCTGTTTTGCTTAACAGCAGATTGCCTCCTTAGACTTGTTCGTTAATTTTTGTGCTTCAACTTTCATCACCTCCTGAATTAGAAGAATTGTCTTGCACTTCAGCAAAAGGCATCAGAGCATGAGTTCATCAGTGGGAAAAAAAAAGTCTGATGTTTTGAAAACAGGATGCTTTGGTTCTGCTGTATAAAAAAGAGGAACGGAAAGAGAAACAGTATAGAAAGGAAGAAAGCAAACAGCCTCAGCAGGATCTCCAGCCCAACAACAGCATAAACAGTGACCTGTCTTTCTGACCTTCTCTATGGCTCAGTTCCTGACCTCCAGTCACCAAAACCAACCCACGTCATTGGAAGAGGATAGGAGGAATAGCGCAGCTGCTGAAAGGGTGACTAGAATTTCCTGTCTCCTTCCTCACAAACACAGTCAAAAAAGTACAGGGTTGCAACAACAGTGGCTGAAGAGGCACCAACCAGAACAATCCCGGGAGTCATCGCTGTGACTGACAGAGAATGGAGGGCCGATTCCCCCCCCCCATTCTATGAATAAGAAGCACAGCCCCTTACCTAGAATTTTCAGATGAAAAAAATGTTCATCAAAAGATGTTCAGCAAGTTGTGGTGTTCAATAAGGAACAAGGTTGAAGCAACTATCCACTTTCCTAACTGTTCTCCTGAAGGCCATGCTCTGATCTTCTCTTTCACAACTAGCTTTGCCCCAGGGAAATTTTATGTGCAGGACAAAAGTCGGGCTGAGTTTACTGAAAGAAACATCAGGATGCAGCAGTTAGTAAAACTTTGCTAAGAAAATCTCTGTGATCGGAATGGGAGATAGGCAGTGCTTTCTTAAGATATCATGAAATCAGCAACAGATACCCTCCCTGGGAAAGTGAATCCTCCTGATTCCTTGGGTTTACTTTTCCAGTTTTTCAGGAGTGGAGTACTGAATACTCAGTGTAAAGCCAATGAATTGCCCTTGTTCTTGGATAGGAGGGAATAAAATCACACAATTCTACCAGCTTGTAGCCACCCAGGAAACAGGCTGTACATAACACAGGAAGGTGATCATAACAATGACAGGCTGATTGCTGTAATGTTGGGTGAGTCATTTTTGGTATAACTGTATAATCAATTACAACGGGAAATGCCAGATCTAGCACAACTGAAAGGAAATAGATCTTATTGACCAAGAAATTCTTCTTATAACTTTATATCAGTTGATGGTAGGCAGGTTACTGATTGTTGGGAGGGCTTAATACTAGTACAGTTAGCTAAGATCCACTGATGTGATACAAACAGCACTACCCTTAGCACAAATAGGTCTTTTTTCCTCAACCCTGTGTT